GTAACAGATCACACAATACATCAAGCAAATCGCACAATACATCAAGCAGATCACACAATACATCTAACAGATCACCAAATACATTCAGCAAATCACACAACACGTCCAGAAATTCACACAACACATCAAGCAGATCACACAACATACATAAAACAGATCCCACAATACTCCAGACAAATCACACAACACATCAAGGAGATCATATAATACATCAAAAAGATCACACAATACGTCACAAAAATCACACACCCCACCAAACAAATCATACACAATACATAGAAAATATCACACTGTATATCAAACAGAGCATCACACAGATCCCATATTTGCCGCATGCAGATCACATATTTACATATCACCTTTAATTTCCAGCTTTCAGATGCATTTCCAGTGTATTTTATTTCCAGACACATTTCGGCTTTATCTTATTCATGTACACCAGTTTGATTTGAAATTAGTGTTTCCAAACACTTGGATTTGGACAAATTCTAAATGTATAATTTACCTGATTACTGTAATTTTCTGCCAGACACAATTTATCGCTGTCGGGGTTTCCTCTCTATAGGAATTTAAAGCGTAGTCTCTGGCGTTCTTCTCAAGATTGACAGGTCCAAAAGATGACTTAATGATGATATTACTGCCATAATCAAGACGGCTTGAACTGATTAGTGGGTGATCTTTCAAAGGCATTAAAGCATAACCCACTGCTGTTTGTATTGATGATGCTTCTGTAGCCCCCCCCCCCCCCCCCACCCCCTTTTTCCAACCACTCTTACATAGAAACATTATTACTTCCTGTATCAACAGATCTCGCAGAACAGACAGGTTTAATGCACATTAACCATAATGAAAAGTGTTTAATTATGCTACTTTTACATGTGTTATATTCACATGTACACACACACACACACACACACACCCATATATATAAATGTATTATATAAATGTATATACATACATTTATACATAGTCTTTTCCCCGGCGGTACGCAGTACGCTGCTCTTTTATATCAATGCTAAAGTAGTACGGATTCGGGTCCCTACAGGGGCCAGACTTGTTCAAACATGGCTTTAGCTCCCAGGTCGATCCAGCCTTTAGTGGGTGCCAGGTACAGTCCTGGGAAGTAAAGGTGGCCAGCGTGATGTTGACCACATCACCAACCAAGTGCCTCTTGGTGTATAAGTATATCTGTCTAGCCCCATATACCCAATACGCCTAAAAGCGCCGGAAAGGGTCCTTTATTTTACTTTACTGTACAGTAGTGAGGTGAATACCGGTAGTTGTTTTAAACATTTGTTGGTGAGTACGGGAACTATTTTGTTAAAAAAAAATGTTTTATACATAAATATATATGTCGTGATGGTTTATTTATATGGTGTGCAACGGTGTGCAGTGCCGGCACATGTTCTGAGGCATAATTCCCCCCCCCCCCCCCCCCCCACAACCCGAGCTCTCCTGTAGTAAGTACCAGCATCTGTTTTCCTAAAACAAATAGGAAAAAAAAAAAACATGGAGTCATAAGTCATATGAAATATCTACTAAATTAGACAATCATAGTGAATACAGCGATAACTTAAAGTAAATGTTGTATACACATATGTGTATATATGTGAATGTAAACTAATATATGTATATACACTCATACACACACAGACACACTCATATGTGTATGTCGACGTCTCTGGCTTAGGCTTGGCGGATGAGCTTTGTAATGCCGGGATGCCGGGTTCGATCCCAGCTGTGGGTCTTTGCCCCTTGCGTTGGTTTCGACAGTGCTATCTAAATGCCGACCGTCCAGATTTGGCAAACTTCTGGTCGCAAATTTGCCTAAAAAAACCACAACAGCCAAAACATGCTGGGGCTGGTTCTGCAATGTCCTGTAAAAGATACGCAACTAACTTTACCACATTTATGTATATATATATATATATATATATATATATATATATATATATATATATATATACATATACATACACCCATGTATATATATATATATATATATATATATATATATATATATATATATATATATATATATATATATATATATATATATATATTTATTTATTCACACACACAAACATAAACAACCTTTTAAGTAGGGTTGTACCGAATAGTGATTTTCACTATTCGGCCGAATACGAATAGTGGGACCAACTATTCGGCCGAATACGAATACGAATAGTGTATCATCATCATCGCCTTGCCGACTGGCGTGGGCGATCATGCCTCTCCACAACCTGCTATCTCCTGCAGCATGTATCAGTTCGTTTGCTGACACACCTCCATGCCATGTAACAAGACTGTCAAGAATCTTCTATCGTTGTCTTCCTCTATCCCTCCTTCCACAGATCTTTCCAGTGGTCACCAAATATTCCATTTTCCCTCTTCTCATAACCTGGCTGAAAATGACGACTGTCTCCTTCTGATATCTGTGATTAGTTGTCTTCGGGCTCACGCGTCTTTCAAAACCATCGTTTACTCGGCCGTTCGTTTGATGTAATGTAAACGGACCTTCATATTTTCGATACCAATATCTTCCAATTTGATTTGGGCGAAGACACCCTGAAAGAACGAAAAATGCATGATCTCTCCCCCCCCTCTCTCTCTCTCTCTCTCTCTCTCTCTCTCTCTCTCTCTCTCTCTCTCTCTCTCTCACAGACACACACTCACACTGCGGTTGGCATTTTATGCAGTTTGTACCACGCAACCGGGTCGCAGTTTCGTCTGCTACGACAGACTTAGGCAACAGCAACTATTGTGTTAATGAGAGAGTTATTTCAGTCCATCACAGTGTACGCAGAAACGGGAGTAAGGTAGCCACTATTCGTATTCGGCCCGACCGCAACTATTCGGCCGAATACCGAATTGTTTTTAGGTCCACTATTCTGTTCCGAAGCGAATACGAAGCGAATATTCGGTACAGCCCTACTTTTAAGTATGACCTTTATATTGGATGCTGAAATCAGTCATTTCGTCTGCGCGTGTTTTTTTTCCTGGATGTTAACGTATAATATTTGTTCACATATGTTACATTGTTTGGTACAGTTCAACATGAGCCTAGAAAGCCCTTAAGCAAGTGTGGGATTAACAGTAAGATTTTTGCTATTCAGCCTCCGTCTCTCAAAAGTAAAAAGACGATCACGAAAACCACGGATCGACAACAATAAAGACACTTTACGCCTTTACGGCACGACAATAGCCAATGACAGCCAGCCTACACTGGATGGAAAAGTATTTTTCTCAACTGTAGAAGTGGTTTATGACGATCATGGCATCAGGATTAGGTCTATGTAATTCTAATGAACTTTATGGCTCATCTTAGTTGACAAAGTTATATTAAATCAAATAATCATATCATGTAATGCTGCTTATGTTTTTCTAAATTGTAAGACGTAAATAATCTAACTGGTCGTCATCATCCTCACCATCAATATCCACTTTTGCGTTTAGCGCCGTGGGAAGGAACAGTCTGCTATCCATTGCCTGCTGGGCATTCCGTTACAGGCTCTTTAATGTCATCAGTCCATGTTCTCCTAGACGCCTCTAGACGCTCGCGTGAAGATTTTAAGGTAGAGGTTTGAAACCGAACAGAACCCGGCCTTGTTTCAGAAATGACCGTGGCTCCCAGGTCGACCCAGCCTTGCGTGGGTACCAGGTAAAGTACAAAAAAGTAAAGGCAGCTGGCGTGATACTGATCATATCAACCACTGAGTGTCGATTTGCCTATAAAATATAGATCTAGCCCTATATGCCCAGTACCTCTGAAGGCATGGGAAAGAATCCGTTACCTTTACTTCAATGTCCAAAGAGTAATATTAATTATATTAGACGTTTTAACTCACTGGTCTAAGTTTGTTAGCACTACGCCTATGTCCCCATATGCTATTTCCGTGTTTCGAGAAAAATCGCATTTGAACATTGGGATTTCTGAAAAATGGCGCAGTTGCATGAAAAGTAATACTTAATGTGGATTAGACAGAAATTCGCAAGTGTGCCTTTGGCATACAGCCCTAAAATTGCACTTAGGCCAAAACATCATATGTGTATTTTGGCGAGTTTGGCCTAGTAAAAACAATATTATCAGGAGCCACAGTAGAACAGTCACCACTATAGAGTGGTGATTACTCAGATAAACGAAATTGAGCTTGGTACCGTGTTTGGGTATTGTCAGACACCTTTTATAGGTGTGACACAAGTAGAATTGTTATTTGTGCCAGGTGTACCCACACTTCCATGAACATGTAAACGCTGATGACCTTGTTCCAGTTCTTAAACAATGTTTATTTAATAAACTCTTGATAATTGCAAAGTTAGTATGTTTATTTAAGAACTCATGATAATTGCAAAGTTAGTATGGCTTCCACTACTGAGCAGCCACAGATTGTATTCGTATGGTTCATAAGCACACTAATCTCAGGTAGTCATTGGCTAAATACATCAACATTACGCTGGTATAGCTGATCACAAACTCATCCTCGCAATATGAACAAAGTCACAAGAGGCTAGCTGATGCCTCTATAGCAATAATTCCGTATCCTCCTAACTACTACACTTAACTTTATAATCCAGCTTTATACCACAGAAACACTTATCACCAGTATGAATAACCACTACTGTTCTGTTCACAGTTTTAAATCCAGTCCATTCCAAGCGAAAAACAATTCCCACCTTTTAAAAGGGCCCCAAACAAACACATCCGTTCACTGGACTGTCCAACTACTAACTGCCGTGTGTCACTCTACCTGTTTGTCCAGTCCCCGTGTAACCTCCCCACTCAGTTACCTGTTTCGCCCTGCGGGTCTACACACAAGCCGTCTGACCAGTAATTTACCTGTCTGCTGTTATGAGTCAGTCTAGTCGTTGTTTGTCTTTATCTCATAGTGTGTGGTAAAGTTGACTCATGACAGGTATTGTCTATGACGATAAATGGTCTTATTAATTTAAATATTATCTTATTAACATTGCTGAGGATAATATCAATCTCTTCTGTACAGATAAGCTGCTGATTTTGGCGCTGTTGGTATCGGTAACGTCGCCTATGTTATATAAGAGATACAAACCTAAGTGGCCAACACTTGCGTCGCAATCCTCAACCTCCTCACGGTCATCGCCCTCCCAGTTACTACAGATGCGAAAACAGCTGGACGCCACTTACAAATCTATGTCCCGGTTTGGAACCAGGTCAAAGGAGACACGCGACACTTGTAGGGCTCATCCACTCACGTTGGAACTAGAGGTAAGAAAATTGGCCTTTATTTCAGAATCCACTAGGTTGACTTGATGCCTGCACGACTGTATTTCTGTTCTTTTCGGCTTTTCTTCTTTTCTCCAGAAACTGGTTTGCCTTTTAGCGTCATGTTTTGAGGTTGCATGTGATGCTCTACAACAGCACGATGTGCCTATGGTCGAGGCGACCAGAAGAGCTACAAACAGAATCTTATATCTCCCTCGACACCCACAGCGGTAAAAGAGGAAGTGAAGAAGAATAGGAAGAAGGTGTTATGCGTTCCTAGGTGTATGTGAAATAAATGTTGGCACTCTCAGCCTCTAATATTTCATCTCTCTATTTTACCCTCCTTCCATTATGTCCGAGTCAGAGGGCTCTGAGGCAGATCCCCTATCTAGTGGAAGTCTTGACGCATGTCTGAACTATCTGATCAGCTGTCTTTAGATACAGTCTAGCACTAGTTCCATCTAAACGTGTTTATTGATATCAGTCTTGATCTTGTCTCTTCTTGTTCAATTTAGGATTCTGCCTAGATATAGAGTTTTCTCTTTTTCCTTTTTCATTTTCTTAATTATATCAACGTTTGGCACTAGTAACACAGTGTTCACTAAAACACACACACACACACACACACACACACACACACACACACGCATAAATGAGTTCCCTGATTGTTGTAATTATTAAACGTTTATTTAGCAGTATTGAAAACTTATGTCCAAGGATTTGATTTATTTTAATTTAATTGACCTTGACTCCTAGGTCGACCCAGCCTTGAGTAGATACCAGGTGCAGTCCTGGGAAGTAAGGTGGCCGCCGTTATGCTGACAGCATCACCCGCCAAGTGCCGATTGGTCTTTACAAATATAGGTCTAGTCCTATATTCCCAATGCGCCTACAGGCGTGGAAAAGAGACCGTTACTTTTGCTTTATTATGATGATGAATATTATTTTTATTATTATCTGCTTATTTCCTTTTGGTTGTGAATGACCTGAAAACACGGCTGCAATATTGATCTCGTCCTGCATTAAAAGGTTTTCAGAAGTTTTTTGAGGGGGGAATCAACACCATGACATGATCTGGGATACAGATTGACGTGCATCATCGACTAAATGTATTTGGATATGCAATTAATGAATATGAATTATTATTTGAATCAATACCTTCTCAAATTTTCGTCCTAAGAAGGGCTGGATGTTCTTTGTACTTGAGTTTACAGTTAGGATGCGATGTATGCATATAAGGTCATATTAAGTCAAATATTTAAATGATCTAGCACAAGAAGCGGATTTAGCAACAGCGAAAGGAAACCTCAGAAAATTTTACAGTAACACACAAAAATTAGTAGGCTAATATAGTCAGCCACCTGGATTAATCAAAAATAGTCAAGGAGAAGTACTTACTATCACTTAAGACCAAATAGACAGATAGGCTGAATATATATATATATATATATATATATATATATATATATATATATATATATATATATATATATATATATATATGTATATATATATATATATAAGAAATGCTTCTAAATAGACCAGGCACAGAGGTTCCTCCAGATATCCAGCCTTTAGAAATGGAACTGGATATAAACTTTGAGATACCATCTAAAGAGAAAGTTAGAAAAGCTATCAATCTTCTCAAGGAGGAAAAGGCGGCAGGTCCATATGTTATCCCAGCATAAGCCATCAGGGCCAAAATAAACACATCAACGGAATTGCTGCATAGATTATTCAGTAAAGTCTGGGAGACCGAAGAAATACCAGCAGACTGGGGAGAAGATTATCTTGTGAAACGGCCAAAAAAGGTGATCTACAGAAGTGTGAAAACTATAGAGGAATTATGTCGCTGTCGGGTCCTGGAAAAATATTAAGTATAATTATTTTGAAAAGATTTAAAGATGCTATTGATAAAAAGCTAAGATATTAACAGGCAGGTTTTCGGTCAAACAGATCCTGTACTGATCAGATAGCCACATTACGTTTAATAAGAGAGCAAAGCATTGAACTGAACTCACCACTTTACATTGGATTCATAGACTATAAAAAATCATTTGACAATATTGATAGCGAATCTATCTGCAAATTAATGAGGCACTATGGAATCCCACGGAAAATTATTAACTAAGTAAATGCAAGATAAAAATACATGAAATGTCGAGTTCTTCATGAGGGAAAAGCTTTCAGATACATTTAAAATAAAAACAGGTGTGAGACAGGGATATCTTTTGTCGCCTCTCCTATTTGTACTGGCTATTGACTGGATTATGAAGACAGTAACTGCTAACACCAAGAATGGAATTCAGTGGACTCCTACAAAACAACTTGATGATCTGGACTTGGTTGATGATATTTCTCTTCTGTCCTATTCACGGAATCAGATGCAAGTTAAATTAAATATACTTGATGCGAGATCACAGCAGCTTGGTCCAAAAATCCACAAAGACAAGACAAAGATAATGAGAATAAATCAGGCAAATAGTAATGTGGTTTCTTTTAATGGCACCCCACTCTAAGACATGGAGTCGTATACCTATTGGACAGTAATGTAGATACAGATGGAGGAATTGATAGAGATATTAAAATAAGAATACAAAAGGCAAGAGGAGCTTTCATAGCACCAAGAAATTTGCGGAGGTCAAAAGAAGTTAAAAGAAATACTAAACTTGAAGTTTTAAATTCTAATGTCAAATCAGTACTTTTGTATTGGGCTGCAACATGGAGAACAGCAAAGGCAATTACTAATAAATTACTGACATTCATTATCTGGTGCCTGCGCAGAATATAAGGAATTAAATGGTATGATAGAAAAACAAATGTAGAGCTTTGGGAGAGATCTAAGCAAGCCCCAGTGGACCAAGAGGTGAGAAAAAGACGCTGGCTTTGGATAGGACACACATTGAGAAAACCGGACAACAGCATAACTAGAATGTCTTTGCATTGGAACCCACAGGGGCATAGGAATAAAGGAAGGCCCCCCCCCCCCAAAAAAAAAAAAACATTAAGAAGAGAGCTGAAGAATGAAGCTTGAAAGATGGGAAGGACATGGGGAGATCTCCATGTAATAGCGAAGGATAGAACGTCGTGTCCAATGTTGTTAATCCATTGTATAAACCTTAAACCTTAAACATTATTAAATCTGTTTAAATTTTTTTTTAATCAAGTGAGTAAACCGATATCGACCATTCAAATCAAAGAGTTTAAAGTCCTAATTAACATTTCTTCTACTTGGCGTTCACCGGCTTTAAACTCTGGCAGAAAGTCATGGTTATTCGTCCGCCTCTGGACTTTGACTCTGTTCCAGGACTTACGTTCTCTGTGCACATTCGTTTAAATATCTAGCTTATTTGTATGTAGACTGTTGGTTCTTGCCTTCTGGCTGATGCCCTTCAACGTTGAATAGAACGTCCAGCTTATCTACATCAGTAAGGATCCTGGCTTTGAACCTGTTCCTATAGTGCAGTGACTCTCAACTTTCCTAACGCTGCTACCTTTTAAAACAGTTCCTCTTATTGTGGTGACCCTCAAACATACAATTATTTTCGTTTCTACTTCATAACTTCTAATGAACATGTTTTTTCCAATGGTCTTTGGCGACCCCCGTAAACGGATCATTTGACCGTAGAAAGGGGTGGCGACAAACAGGTAAATAAAAGGCTTCAATAGTTTGTTTTAATAGTCTTGCACTCACACTTTAATAAATATCTGAAACACTTATGTACAGATGAACACACACGGTTGTATGCAGTCTTAGATTTCCCACGTCCTTATGATTTTATAATTTACAATTGTACAGGTGCGGCTGTTTTCATTTCTGTGATCTAAAAAAAAAAAAAAAAAAACACAGTAATTGACACACTTGTGGAGGTTGTCTGGAAAACAGTTCAGTTCCCATTTGCAGCGATACGTAGTAATTATTTTGATTGCCTATCCCGCACAGAATAAAAAATTGTGTTCATTATTAGCTTCACGGGGGCTTATGCTGGAGCTGGTCCTGAGGGTTATACGCCTTAATCTGGTCATCCACTTGTGAGATACAATTTTTCGTTATTTGAAGCCCTACTCTAGCTCTTGCCAGGGGCGCAATATAGCCCGGCCATAAATATGGTCTAATGGCTGAACTCTCCACGGGTGATCCCCATCCACATGGTGGCACTTTATGTCATCAGGTGTCTATCGCTTGTGTGATGTCCTGGTGGGGTAGAAAGTCAGTCAGTCAGTCAGCCTATAGTCGATTGCAGAAGTCGTGCCCGATTTTAAAAGTTTGTAGCTAAATAAGCAATCTTCAAGTGCTCCAAAATGCTGCGAGAAGAAATACAGTCTAGAATAGCATCTGGAAAAAAAGTATACTATGCCCTTCAAAATTAGCTAAAGTCAAAGTGTTTGTCTCACAATACCAAGATAAATATATATATAGCGTAGTTAAGATCAGTCGTTTCATATGGCTTTGAAACATGGAGCACAAATAAACGAGAAAAAGCCTTATTAGAGGTTTTCGAAAACAGTCTTACGACGAATCTTTGTACCCATCAAAGATGCAAACAGCGGGGAATGGAGAGCAAGAAGTAATAACGAAATTCATAATCTGTTTAAATCACCATTTATCACTGGCATCAGGAGAGCTAATAGACTGAAAAAGTTGGTGCACATTGAAGCAATGTCAGATGACAGAAAAGTAAAAACTGTATACACGAGGGAGATGAATGGTCGTAGACCACGAGGCAGACCAAGAAGACGATGGAGAGATAATGTCCAGACAGACTTGCAGATATTTGGTGTCAGCAACTGGAGAGAGAAGGCCAACCAGAGAGATGAATGGAGGCGAGTGATATCTGCAGCAATGAACCTCAAGGCCTCGGAATGCTGAAGAAGAAGAAGAAGCTCAAAAACCGTTCAGTGTAAATTGTAAAAATTTGGCATGCAGGCTGTCAGTAACCATGTCTTTGAAAGAACTTGTTTTTATGTAAACACAGACTGGTTTTGATTTTGCTTTACTAACGGTATGCGAAAAAAAAAAGCAGATTCAAAACAAACAGCATGATTACACTTAACTAATTAATGGGAACTTCTCAAAACATCAGACTGCGCGTGTTTCATAGGCGTATAAGTAGTAGAATAGATTTTTACCCCACTAGGACATCACGCAAGCGATAAACATCCGATGACACAAAGTGCCAACATGTGGATGAGGATCACCCGTGGAGAGGTCCCAGAAACCGCGTTCAACCATTAGACCATATTTATGGTCGGGCTATATTGCGGCCCTTGGCAAGAGCCAGCGTATGGCTTCAAACAACGAACAAATTGCATCTCACAAGGAGATGACTGGATATTACCGACTATAGGACAATAGCGCAGAGTTTGTAGATAAACAGGCATTGACCATGTGTGGATCAGCAACTCTGCATCCAATGTATCATTTGCTCGATTTAATAACCTGTAAAATGCGTAAAACATTTATCATAAGCAAACGCGGACCCAACCAAAGAAGAAAACACTGACTAGGAATTCAATCAATAATATCCGGACGAATAACGCACGATTACTAATCTGTCTGATAAAACGTGATTTAATTTAGGGCACATTGGCGCTTTGATATTTTAGTAATTCAGTTTGTCTCATGACGGAAGTGCCAGAATATAAGCACGTTCAAACTGAAAACAAAGCATATAATCTGACACCATAGCTCTTGTGGGAAAAAGACTTGTAAATGTTAGATTGTCTTTGTTAGTACAACGCAACTAAAGTAGAGTGCACGTTCTTTTCTTCTTCTTCTTCTTCTTCTTCTTCTTCTTCTTCTTCTTCTTCTTCTTCTTCTTCTTCTTCTTCTTCTTCTTCTTCTTCTTCTTCTTCTTCTTCTTCTTCTTCTTCTTCTTCTTCTTCTTCTTCTTCTTCTTCTTCTTCTTCTTCTTATTATTATTATTTTTATCTTTTCTTCTTATTTTTTAATCTTTTCTTCTTCTTCATCTTCTTCTTCTTCTTCTTCTTCTTCTTCTTCTTCTTCTTCTTCTTCTTCTTCTTCTTCTTCTTCTTCTTCTTCTTCTTCTTCTTCTTCTTCTTCTTCTTCTTCTTCTTCTTCTTCTTCTTCTTCTCTTCTTCTTCTTCTTCTTCTTCTTCTTTCTTTCTTCTTCTTCTTCTTCTTCTTCTTCTTCTTCTTCTTCTTCTTCTTCTTCTTCTTCTTCTTCTTCTTCTTCTTCTTCTTCTTCTTCTTCTTCTTCTTCTTCTTCTTCTTCTTCTTCTTCTTCTCCTCCTTCTTCTTCTTCTTTTTCTGCGGATCCGAAGGTCGTGGGTTCAGCTCCTGATGAAGTCAGACTTTTTTTTCTCCAAAAATTACCTTGAAAAATTGTCTTAAATGTGTACCAGGTAAAGTCCTGGAAAGTAAAGAAGACTAGTGTGTTACTCACCACATCACCCATCGAGTGCCGAATAGTCTATATAATTTAGGTCAAGCCCTTTATTCCCGAAGGCTCGGAAAATAATTCTTTACATTTTACTTTGGCGGTGGTACCACAGGTATCGGAACTATTCGCTGGCTGCCGAAAAAACGGAATTTCAAAAGTGCCGTGATCTAACTGCTGGATTTAACTAGGAGGCTTCAACAAATCTGCACATTTACCACCAATACATAGCAGGTTCTAACCAACAACAAAGAGGAGACTTGCTGAAACTCCGACATAGCCATGGTTACTCTCTGCAGTATACTGGTGCCATTTTATGGGGTTCTTGTAATGAAATGCGCATCTTTGAGGCTCTGAGGTTAGATAATTCGTTTCAGATTTTCACAACCCTCGAAGTACTTAAGTTCAATTCCACGGGTAACGTGGATTACAAATAAAATAAATAAAAATAAAACAAATTTGAAAACAAAAGGAAGAAGAAATGGTTAGTCCTATCGAATAGAGGACACTGAATCGAGACTTAAGCTGTAAAGTAAATTGGGTCCTCAAAAAAAGCAACTGGTGCACTGGAGCCATGCTTGGTTGAGGAGAGGGCAGGTAATGTCTTGCTTCCAGTGTGGCGTTACTAGAATAAACAAGTTAATTGCATCATATTTTATGTTATTGTTATACCCCCCCCCCCCCCCCCCCCCAACACACACACATACTTTGACACATTTTATTGTTTACAATTTCAGCCACCGTTAAAACTGGCAGATCAGTGTGGTTCACTTTCTGTTTTGTCTTACGGCTGTCGGGGTGGTTGCTCCTCCTACAGCCAAGTGGACCCTCGCAACGCCACAAATATCATCCACAGTTGCAGGTAACGTTCCTGGCACTTGTTCTTTCGATAATTATTGCCGAACTAGTGTTAATGTTCATTAACTCATTAGTACATAACGATTATTTTTATGTATTTTCTTCTTTGATACTCAAAAATCAATAATCAAATAGGTTTTCAGAACTTTATGTCCCATTTTTTTTTAAAACTTGCTGTGAATAGACACAGAAAATTAGGAATGCTTCAGCTATGAAGTTATAAGCTTGTGGAATGCAATTTTTTGGTATTTGAAGCCCTACTCTGGCTCTCGCCAGAGGCCGCAATGTAGCCCGGCCATAAATATGGTCTAATGGCTGAACGCGGTTTCTGGGACCTCTTCACGGGTGATCCTCATCCACATGGTGGGACTTTGTGTCATCGGATGTTTATCGCTTGTTTGATGTCTTGGAGGGGTAAGATAAGATAGATAGATAGATAGATAGATAGATAGATAGATAGATAGATAGATAGATAGATAGATAGATAGATAGATAGATAGATAGATAGATAGATAGATAGATAGATAGATAGATAGATAGATAGATAGATAGATAGATAGATAGATAGATAGATAGATAGATAGATAGATAGATAGATAGATAGATAGATAGATAGATAGATAGATAGATAGATAGATAGATAGATAGATAGATAGATAGATAGTTAGATAGATAGATAGATAGATAGATAGATAGATAGATAGATAGATAGATAGATAGATAGATAGATAGATAGATAGATAGATAGATAGATAGATAGATAGATAGATAGATAGATAGATAGATAGATAGATAGATAGATAGATAGATAGATAGATAGATAGATAGAGATAGATAGATAGATAGATAGATAGAGAGATAGAGAGATAGACAGATAGACAGATAGACAGATAGACAGATAGACAGATAGACAGATAGACAGATAGACCGATAGACAGTTAGACCGATAGACAGATAGACAGATAGATAGATAGATAGATAGATAGATAGATAGATAGATAGATAGATAGATAGATAGATAGATAGATAGATAGATAGATAGATAGATAGATAGATAGATAGATAGATAGATAGATAGATAGATAGATAGATAGATAGATAGATAGATAGATAGATAGATAGATAGATAGATAGATAGATAGATAGATAGATAGATAGATAGATAGATAGATAGATAGATAGATAGATAGATAGATAGATAGATAGATAGATAGATAGATAGATAGATAGATAGATAGATATGTCGATATTGTATGTACTAAATAACACTTCAGTTCAAATGAAACGAACATCTGCCCTGATCCTTTAAAATAAATTACAATGACATTGTGTTTTACACAGAGCAAATTGTGAAATGGATTGTTGCTGAAAAAGAAGCGAACATTATAATCGTTTGTGTAGTTTGAGAAGGCGTCTGTGGCTTAGGCGTGTGCCAACGCGATTCGTAATGCTGGGGTGCCAGGTTTGATCCCAGCTGCCCACGGTTTGTCGTGCTGTGGTTTCAACAGTGACTCAGAGACCTGACCCTCCAGGAAATGAATATCAAACCACTGAACGTAAAATTTAACTAGAGAAATTACAACAGCCAGGGGATGCTGGGGTTGGTTCTGCAACATCCTCTAAAGGATTTGCTACTAACTTTAGAGTGTGTATGTACATTTTCAGTCTATCGCAGCACCGCTCGTCGCTGGATTAAGAGAGTTAAAGATTCAGAAAGTGGAAAGACAGACGATGTTATTTAGCAGGAAAGAAATGTCTACATGAGCAGAATAAAACCTGACACAGGTATTGGCGTCTTAGGTATAATACACTAATTCTCTTTTCTCGCAATAACTTAACTGAATCAACTTTTGTGTGAAGGGTGCTGCGTGGTCACCAGGTATGGTGTCCGTCTCGAGTGCTAGAGGGTCTGGTTTCGATCCCCGGTAAGGGTTAGGAATTTTTTCACGTGGACTTGAACTTCTAGTATTCCCACTGGTCTCTGGATATTGAGATCGGACGCCCGTGTTCATAGTTGCGCACATACAAATTTTGGCATTTAGAAATCGAAAAGAGTAGCCCAACGGCGCTGCCTGCGCAAAATTTTGAGTTGAAAATCTACCCAAAGTATTTCAGGATCATCGCCGGTTCTCTAAAGTTAAACACTCTCAAAGGCCTTATCATTATCCACAGTTTGTAAAGTTAAACACCGCCAAAGGCCTTATCATAATCCACAGTTTGTAATGTTAAACACCGCCAAAGGCCTTATCAAAATCCACAGTTTGTAAAGTTTAACACCGTCAAAGGCCTTATCATAATCCACAGTTTGTAAAGTTAACCACTGTCGAAAACCTTGCTCAGGACCGCAACATATAATGTTCTGTTGTGGAGACGTCACCATTTTGTATTTTTAGTTTTATTGGTCACTTAGTAAAAATTAAATGCAGGGTTTCATTTACCACTATCATCTACTTTTCTCTACTCCTAGAATGCTTTGCGGCGTCAGAGCGGGAAGAATTCACCGGAACAGAACCTTCTGCACTTTGTGTAAAGTACTTTTCAGTGTCTCTGATATTTCTGCGGTCCATGTTCTGCGAGGTCGACCTCTAGTTCTGTTATTGTTGTAACAGTATAACATTGCTCTTTGTGGTGCCTTGTCTGATGCCAATCTTGCTGCATAGGCAACCCGTTTGATTTGTTTTCTACCTTTTGTGCCGACTCTCCCCCTGACAGATGCGATCTTTCTTTGCTACACCTAACATAGTACCCTCATCAGTTTATTTGAATTAAAGTAATAATTCCGTTGCCATCTGTGACTATTTATTTTAAATGCATTATACTTCAGTTGCTATCAGCCGCTTATCACAACAATGTGTATTATTTCAGTTGCTGCCAGCCACTTCGCTTCATGGTATCCATAGCACTGTTGCCTTGCAGGGACGGCCACAACCTTAAGGTACTTTTCAAGGAGGCTCGGGTGTGTTCCTGTCGACCGTGCTATGCGGAAGAGGCCACCAAAGACTACATCAGGTTCGACGATTTACTGTCAAAGCCTGCAGTTGAAACGCCTTTGCCTATTGGATGATCGTAGGCGTGAAGACGTAGCTGCTGTTTTCAAAATAGTGTTCTCCGTCGTTATAATCATAATTTTGACCTTTGTTTATTTTACACAAACAGCAAATTCTAAATTTGACACATATCGCAGTCAGCAAACTGTGTGATTAATACTAGGTGTTCGTGTTAATTTCACGAGGAACCAAAATACTAATTCAAATAGGATTATCTTGTTCTAGGCCTTTCATCTGTGACGTTTCTTTTTCAAACAGTATTATTTTAGTAATAATTAGGTATATTTTCGGCAGATTTGCGTGACAAGATAATAATTTATTTACTGATTGCTGTACTGAATATGGCACGCTTTGTTATTGCTCTGTTACTTGTGAGGGGAATAGTTAAGAACTAAAATGATATAAAGGTAATGCTATTTTGACTGAAAAAAAAAAAACAACAACAGTGGAACCCATTTTATCTTGTTTTTTTTTTTCTCTCTTGATTTTGTGAGAAAAGTTGCATTAATACTAGGCGAAGTTGTGAAAGGATTACTTCGATTTGTTGGTGTTTCAATATATATATATATATATATATATATATATATATATATATATATATATATATATATATATATATATATATATATATATATATATATATATATATATATATATATATATATATATATATATCTTCTTCTTCTTCTTCTTCTTCTTCTTCTTCTTCTGCCTTTCTATCCTCCAATGAAGCATAGGCCCTCAACCAACTCACGCCAAGTCGTTCTATCCTTCGCCATTACATGGAGCTCTTCCCATGTCCACCCCATCTTTTTAACTTCATTCTCCAGCTCTCTTCTCGGTGTGTTTTTTGGTCTTCCTTTATTCCTATGCCGCTGTGGGTTCCAACGCAAAGAAATTCTAGTTATACTGTTCTCCTGCTTTCTCAGTGTGTGTCCTATCCAAAATGGAAACGATAATGAAACAAGATATATTAGTCAAACTGATCTGAATATAATGTTGCCTGGACATGTTAACATTGTTTGGAATCACCTGTATTTACAATAGAACATTTGTGAAATTTGTCAATGATTCTATATTGTATTCAAACCAATGATATGCAGTAAAACTGAAACGAATAGACTTGAACTCTTTTAGTCCCGAACAATCGTAACAATGATACTTTCTACCTATGTATGTGTTCAATTTGGAAGGGGCAAAAAGAAGAAGAAGAAAAAGAAGAAGAAGAAGAAGAAGAAGAAGAAGAAGAAGAAGAAGAAGAAGAAGAAGAAAGAAGAAGAAGAAGAAGAAGAAGAAGAAGAAGAAGAAGAAAGAAGAAGAAGAAGAAGAAGAAGAAGAAGAAGAAGAAGAAGAAAAGAAGAAGAAGAAGAAGAAGAAGAAGAAGAAGAAGAAGAAGAAGAAGAAGAAGAAGAAGAAGAAGAAGAAGAAGAAGAAGAAGAAGAAGAAGATGAAGATGAAGAAGAAGAAGACACATAATTTGTGATTCTTGGTGAATGTTTGTAAGTAATATTAAAGATGGAAATTGTCAATGTAATAGAAGAAACAAGCACATTAATGAATGAATTTATCAAGTGCTAATATCATTGCACTCGGGACATTCCTCTGCGTGCTCCGTCTCCCTTATTAGTAGCCAACCACAGACTAATAGTACCAATGGCAACCTGATTAAAAGTCCGCCAATGTTTCTCTGTTGAATAGCCCTGCTCAGCAGGCCCCGCCCCCCCCCCCCCCCCCCCCCCCCCTGAATTAGTTCTTTTTTCTTTCAAACTTTGGATAGTCTGTTTAATCTGTTGCACGTCCACTTGACACCAGAGAGCTTTCGGCCCGTCCTCTTTATCACAAAGCAGCACACCTTATAGAGAAGCAGTATCAGTCAGTATTTCAGCCTGATCTTTACCCTGTACCTCCGAATTTCACGGACAGACTCGGGGAGAAGGAATCTGAAGTGTATACCGTGATTCCGGTATCAAGGAACGTAATGTGAGTTGCTTGGCACCTAAAGAGATACGATTTTAACAACATAAAATAATCCAATATATTTAAGACAACGGTTTTTTCTTCTGACGTCTCCTCTAATGACGTCACCAGGGACATAGTGTGGGTTTTTTTTAAAACTGTTAGCAATCTTAGTAATAACTATCTTGATGCCTTTCCATTATGGCGACCCCAATATCTTGAATAAAGACAGGACATCATATACATATTAAGACCAGGAAACGGAACATTCCATGTAAGACAGTTTACCCAATCCCGCCTCCCACTCACCACCCCCCCCCCCCCCACCCCCTTTCTTTCTGTCTTTTGGTCACCAGAATAAACACATTACCTACTGACTCGACTGTGATTTTGAAACTCGAACCAATGCAGCCAAGAAATCAACACTCTTTAACTGCAGCGAATGAAGGGGAAAAAAAAAATAATAAAGCCACTACATCAAAAATTCCCATTAACAAATTAAAGGCATTGAAAGTTTCCAACCCTATTATATGTAATAATGTGCACAAACAATTACTATATATTTTTTTTCTCGAGTTTATTCCTAAATTTTTAAAAGCAGAACAATAGTAGCTTTTTTTTGGAGTACCGAGGGGGACCAGCTACAAGAAGGTGTTCATTAGGAAAGTTGTAAAGCCCTAACTTGTTTATTTTGTTCATCAACGACCTTCCTAAACAGTTAATGACCCACATGCAGATTATCTATCTGGCCATATAGACCAAACTTGAACATATAGGAACAACTAAAACAAGAAAGCAGGAACCTATGAATACAGTTAAGAAATGAACAGACACTTGGGGAGTCATCATTAAAAGGTTAGTTGCGTGTCCTTTGCAGGACGTTGCAGAACCAACCCCAGCAGCCCCTGGCTGTTGTGTGGTTTCTCTAGGCAAATTAACGTCCAGTAGTTTGCCAGTGCTCTTTGGACGGTCTCATCCCCCTGATACCACCGTCGAAACCAACGCAAGGCGCATGGCCAGCAGTAGGGATCGAACCCGCACCCCGGCATCGACTTTCATATCGACTTAGCCACAGAGCCAACGAGTCATAATTAACCAGACCAAAATCGTCTGGACTCTTTTCTCTCTTTCTGCATAGCTAGAACAAGTTGATCTGTACATTGAAGACAGCACATTCTTCCCAAAGAGAACCAACTCATATATTTGACAAAAGACAAATATAGGGCCCACAGTGAAGACATCCAAAGGAAAGCTACCCTACGGCTCAGTCTTATGAAGAAACTTACTGGAACAAGCGGAGTATAGATGCCAACACAAGTATACATAGAACACGAGCGACAAAAAGTGGAGTATAACTTAGTAGCATTGTCTACAGCCGTATCAAATTTAAACAAACTGAACAAATTGCAGAACATTTGTCTCAGAATCATCACTAGAGGTATGAGAAGCACACCAGTCAATATCCTGGAGGCAACATCAGGCCTCCAGAGCTTGAGCTCTCGAATGGAAGAAAATGTGTTTACTCTAACAGAAAATTAAAGCTCATGAAGAACACGTTGTAAATAATAGCACAAAAGAACAACAAAAAATTCAACTGAAAAGACAGAGCTTACACATTCTGTCTAAATTGTTCTGTGCCAAAAACAGTGACATCAATGTTTTTGGAAATGATCCAAGCATACAACATAGATTTACAGCCTGAGAATACAGTCTGAAACAGAAATCCCAGGCATCGACAGAAAGGCTGAAGAATTTGAACTAACACTGCATGCAAAAACCCTTGAAAGTGTCTACAATTCTTACCCAAAACCAGAAAACACAAACAGATCACTGAGAGGGGCAGAGAAAAAAAAATGGAGGAGCTGGTTCGGTAATCATGATGCAAGATGGGACTACAGTAGAAACGTCATGTGCCCCCGGAAACTCTCAACAAACTTCAGGTCAGAGCAGCAAGTTCTTAGTGAACCAACCTAGGTGCTTGAAAAAAAACAAAATTAATAATTCAGAAACTTTTGGCTCGGTACTATGGATATCGCAAACCTTCGGCCTTGATTCCATGACAGATACCGTAAATCTGGAAAATGTGTAGCTTTTCTGCCTACCTCGGAGCATGAACTCAGACCACAAGGAGTTTGTAACCGCGCAGCTGGTTTAACCAACTTAACTAGCGCACCGGTCGCTAAAGTGCTTCAGAAAAGAAAAATTCAAGCAACAAAATTGATTTCCTGTGTAACTGCATGTCAGTCCTCCTGGTAAATCAAAGGGATCCACTAGACAACAAGGAGAGAGCCAGCGAAACAGATTCATAAATCCATCAAATCGTTCTCCAGTTGATCCCTGCTCACTGCTGAAATCCAGAAAATGAGTTAGCGGACATACTTGCAAAAAAATAGAACAAAGTTAAAACAACACACTAATTTATTGTCAATCCCCGAGATCAAAACACCCACCAAGGGAAAATACAAGGACCTGGGGAGAAAACAAACCATCAGTAAACATCTACAAGACTCCATTAGCATACACAACAGAGAGCAACATACAAAAATTTTCCGTCTAAGAACAAGTCACTGCAGGCTCAACTACCACATGCATAAAATAAAGATTGTACAGTGCTCACAGTGTGCCTGTCAAACAGGACCATAAACAACTGAGCACATTCTGCCCACTCTACCTACATCTTCGAAAAGAAACCTGGCCTCAAAAGCAAAGTGTGCAGAGCTAGCTATGGAAAAACCATCAAGAACCGGAAGCTGTCATGCCAGTTCATAGAGGCAGCCCACCTAATGGTCTGATCTGAAACCGATCGCAGAGAAGAAGAAAAAGTTTTAGACATCTCCCCGTTTCGGTTCAGGGGCCTCATTTTGGAGGGAAAGTAATAGACCGACTGCCCCCCTCCCCTCCCACCAATAACCATGTCTCAAGAGCCGACCAATAAGGGTTTTGCTGTAATTGGTCGCCTTCGACCGAAAGACACAGATATTGCAGCCGAGCCGTAAATTAAGAGTCAACATGCCAACCGCATATATTATGGGCGAAAGCACAAGAAGAAGGAGAACATAAA